CTCCCCGAAAAACAGTTTTCTAAGGCCAATTTTCAGCTTCATTAGCACTGGCACCAGTATTAGCTACATGTCATTTCCCTCTCACACACTACAGCATAGGCTACACAGTATTATCAGATGTGTTATGAACCATTAGATACATTGAGAACATCATCCCTGTTCACTTCTTGCTGAATTAAATACAAATGCAGAAGACAGTGACTCGTTTTATTGCATCATCTAAATCAGAGGGCACACTGGGCAGCTGACTCTCCTTCTCCCAGTCACAACACAGGGCCGGGTGATCAGTCAGGGAAGTGGAGAGCGTACTTTCCCACTGGGAACAAGTACCATCCAACAGTAACCTCTCTAATGCTGCTTGACTTCAGAGTTTCTACGGAAATCATCCTCGAATTGCTTTGCTGGGACGCTTCTTGACCAAGGACAGGAAACAGTACAAGAAACGTGGGAATCTTTCCGAGTGCTTCTGGAAATATTGTGTGTAAACAGGAAACTTCCTGACTGGTTGCATAATTTATACAGATGTCTGAAAACATGTATATAGATTTGCTTGATTTAAAATGAGAATGAAGAAACATGAAGGCAGCGCCTAATTTCAGACTATGCTACTTGGAAATGAATAAATTCTTGATATTTTGCAATTATGCTATGACCAATGTAGTATTTTCTTAGAGCTGAGCACAATAGGAAGAAAGTAATGGGACAAAGAGATAAATATACAAAGAATTTGGGCAGGGGAAGCAAGATTCCCATGAGGTCCTATGAAACCTCCCAGAAGAGCAATGCCTCAACTGTGTCTAAGTACAGAGGCAAGAGGACTTTCTCCTTTGTCACTTGATGTAGACTGGGGTGTCAAAAAGAAAGGGTCATAGCTGCATTCCCTGATGAGCTGGTAAGGGATTAACAGTGCCCAGGCCCGTCCTGCCATCGCCAAGGCACCACAAAAACAATAAGCACACGTCAGGATCAAGCATCCGCTCCCACTACTGCTAGAGACAAGTTTCTCTTGTTCACTCATAAAATAAGACCCGCAAATCTATTTCTCTGCAGCACCTTGCCTGGCCCCCAGCTATCCATGACAACAGGGCTGTCTGTGCATAGTGTGGGCTTTAAGAATTGTGTCTGGTTATCATCAAGCAGAAGGTACCCATGGCTGTCAATGCCAAGACTTGCATCCAGATTCGGACAGTCAGTGGAGACAGGAATGACACCATTTAAAAGGTTCTGTGGCTGTGACCTGCACTTATGTGGCTGCACACACAGATGCAGGAAGGTGACACATGGATATAGACAATATGTGTTACTAGGGCAAGTCACCTCCTGCTTGGGCACTCAAGGGCAGTGAGATTTGTTCCCTCGAGTTACCACTCACTGATAATGTTTTTGTATCTTGGCATGTAACGTAAATAAGGGAGAGGACAAAATAACAGCTGTAAAAGGCTTCTAGTCTGAGTCCTTCATATGCACAGTACCACCATACTTTCTCAATCCTGAGTACCCTCCTGATAATATCAGGAATAGCACTAAACAGTCAGGTGTTTGGGTGATGCCAACCTTGATAATATGCACAAACTGTCTGAGCTGTGAACTCTATCCTGCTCAATACATACTTTGCATAAACCTCAAGCCAATCAAGGCTCACAGAAATCTTGAAGTAATCTCACCTAAGAGTGATGCACAGGCTACATTGATCTCAACAGTATACATCATAAATCTCTGACTGTGCTATTTAAACAAAGCCTACAGGCTTGAAGCAGCTTGTTCTCTTCACATAAATTACAAGACAGATGATGCCAGCTGTAACAGAGAAAAATGTCCTCAGAAAGTCAGGGCAGCTGGATGCCCTGTGCAGCTATTTGTAATCTTTCAAACATTCATCCTTCTCTTACACAATGGAGCAAGTCAGTGCCTGTCTAGAAATTACTCTTTTTCTGCTACCTCATCAGCCAATAAAAACTTGTAGAAGACTTCAAATTTATCTAAATGAGTAACCTACTAAGACAGACAGATGGGCAGGGAGAAGTGTAGAGCCTACAGAGAATTTTTTCCCCTTTTATTGAGGGGAAAAAATAAACATATATTTTCAAACATTGCAAGCATAAAGTAAAATAAATAAAACCAAAATGAATAATAATGGAAAAATATTAAAAAGTTCACTAGCCATCTACCCAAGAGCTGTTATATGTTGAGGACAGAGTCAAGACATGGTAATCGAGCTATAAACTCTGAAGCTTTAAGCTTTTAGTACTGCAAAAATACTTGCTAGTACTTATGGCAATGCCCAATCAATTTACTGTTCAAGCTAGGCCAGGTCACAACGGCAGGGGGCCGGGGGCAGGATTCAGCTAATTCTAATCCACCAGAATTTCATTGGAGCCTGAAACTTTGAAGGAGTTCACATTGTGTCTTTAGACATCACTGGTAGTTCTCAAGAAGACAACTTTTGAGACCCTGATCCACTTTTTCATTTCACAACCCTGTTCACTCTTATTTTTTGAATCAAAAATAGCTAGATTTGATTTGACTCACATTTTTAAGTATGCTTAGAATGACCAAATCACCCTTTAAAAAGAAAAATCAATAAACCATCAACAATGATATATCCAATGACACATCTTCAAGATGCCAGCGTTTCAAGCAACTGCACCACTTACCTTACCAGAAACACCATCAGTTACATGCTCATCTAAGATTACTTCTTTTACCAACATCAGTACGATGCTACATCTTTTGTCCTGTACCTTGTACTCCCTGCAGCGACTTTGCCTTTCTCCTGCAGGCTTCTTTAAGCACTGTTGATCACATCTCTCTGTTAGGTCCCTTAAAGCAAAAGGGATGAGCAAATTGCTTCTCTGCACCTAGTTAAGAACTTCACTGCTCTGTAAGATACATCCATGAATTAAACCCACTATTTTTTCCTTTGCACTTCCTCCAGAACAAAAATTTCTCAACAAGATTAGCAGAGGCAGAACCTTTAAATCCTGCATGCCCAATCCCAACAGTTTACAAATCCCAATACAATATTTCACATTCAAAAGGTGCTTGCCCTTCTTTGTGGAATATAATTAGAAAGGAAAGAATATGTCCTGGAGTGGCCAGGGTAGAGTGCAAGTGAAAAAAATCAAACAACTACAAAACCCCTCAACAAAACAGCCCAAGTGGCCACTACATGACCGTTTTCACTGTACCCACAACCCAATGTCCACTGTACCCCAACCTATGTACAATCAGAATGTAATATTTCCTTAAAAATCTATTTTCTAGAAATTACCAAGAAAAAAAGTAAACACACATTTGAAACAATTTTTTGCAGCACATTTTTCAGTTTTATTTATAAAATCAGATGCTCCTTTAAAGTGTACAGTTAAAATCACAACTTTAAATTCAACCACTGCTGAATATTATTTCAATAGAATACCCCTACCAACTGATGTAAAAATTCATTTGATTGTGATTTAAAACTCGATTCAGCTGGAAGATAAACTTACCAACACATGACTCATTCAGCAAATATTTACCACACTAAATATTATGTAAAAATACATAAAGGTCCCTTCTATTCATAGCAATACCATGAAAATATTCGCACATCAACTCATCTTTTAAAATATAATTCTGTATTTGTGAATAAAACAAAAAATAAAATTGCCAGCGAAATCCACCAGGGGTTTCTAAACTGCTGATGCCCCCACAGGGGGTAGTAACTGCATCAGTACTGTCCTTGCATGTTTTTCTTTTCATCACCAAAAAAGTGACCTTCCAAGCAGCTCTAAACTGTCTGCAACATTTTGCCAGGCAAAACAAAGTCACAGGAACAAAATAACATGGCTGCAACACTTGCTTCACTGGTCTTTCAGATTGGAACTGCAACTCACTTTGACCACTCCAGCACACCAAAAAGACTAAAGATTAGTAAAACCTGAAGTAAAAACTACCAGTTCCTGAAAACTTATGGAAACGAGGTCAAAGTCTTGATAAGGCATTTCATTGCAAGACATTGTGGTTCTAACAGGGTAGAGGGTAGCTTGGGAAACCTCCCCCCCCCTCCATTCTAAGCCTGGAATTGCCCTGATTTTTGGGCAAATAATTGTCTCATCATTACACAGGGCACTAATTCACCTCTTCATTCCTCTTATATTCTCTGAAATCAAAATATTTTCCATAACCCAGGTCTAATGTAGCCCCGTACAAGAGATCCTGCTCCTAAGATACAGCCAGGATTACAAACTCGGAATTCAAAGTCCTAGGCACATGCATTTTCATTACATACGGCCAGAGCGTATATGGCATTCGCAGCACTTCAAAAACTCTCTGGGCTTTCTGATGCTCGATAATTCTACTGGACACACACAAATTCATAGTCATAGGGGTACAAGAAGGTTTAACACCTCCAAACAAGAAACCCATGTAGTATCATCAACTTTCTACATAGAGCTCAGAATCTTGACCTCTTGTAGCAAAAGCAGCATGGGATACAGCAAGTGAAGATTCACAGATTTTACTCCTGGATTTCATATGAACTGGGGGTATGTACCTGCACAAGTCCTTTGTGTCTCTGCCTCTTTTTATAATAAGTCATCTTTTTGACACGTTTACAGACCTATGGATGAAAAGCATTATTCAAGTGTTGGGTATATATTACCATTCTCCTAAACTAAGTCCCACTGTTTTACAAAATGGACGACATGTCTGCCTGCTAAGACATTGCAAATCATCTCATTTTCACACTTGGGAAATGAACAGTGAAAATAATGTACACAAAAGAGTTGGCTATTATCTTTTCTTCTGGCTTAGGGTTCAAAACTATTTTGAAGGAGACAGCTGTCCTTACTGGAAGTATTCAAATTAATCTATTTCACTACATCTCAAAATACATTAAAGCAATCATTTTAATTTAAGCACAGATAACCAGAATAGCTTCTAGTGCATAAGTCTGATTTGATGGATAAATTATTTAAGAAGATTCCCAATCAAGAAAAAACCTATACACAAAGCATCTTATTACATGCTTTAGAGCAAATATTTTAGGCAGTGTGATTATTAAGCAGAATACCGTATTTGTAAAATGTTCTAAAAGGACTAGGAAAGGTATAACATAAGCTGCTATATGTAAACACCTACTGAAGTTTCTTATTTTAAGAGGTGTTTGAACACAAGCAGTACTGAGGATGTGTAGACCTCTGCTGATTTACAACACAAGAAAAAAACAAGTTTACGTGGAAAAAGCTAAAAGACAAAGAAACACAGCTTAAGAATAAATAGAAACCAAGGGGTATAAACAGAGCAGGCAAACATACTGTAAAAAAAAGTTTAAAAAAATCAATAGAACACCGCCTGAGTCAAATTAGCCTTGAAAACTTTGAGTTGTGTAAAAATAACTTTCCTTAAAATAAACTTTAATAAGAAAGATTGTCACTGGATTGATTTTTAAAAGTAACAGAAACCTTTAGATAAATAGTTTTCCTTCAATGACCTGCAGGTCACCGTATTTTTAACTTAACAACCTGAAGCTCACCAGTAACTAAAACTAGAGAAATGAAAATACTTCACACAGTAGGAAGGGAAGAATTACCCAGAAAAAAAAAGGATAATAATGTGTTACATTCTAAAATTCTGTTGAGAAGGCTAAGGTGATTAATAACACCACACGGAAAATCTGATTACATCCAGCTTTTGACAAACAAAGGAGAAATCAGACAAAATCTGCAGGATTTCAGTGTCGGAAGAGCACTTTGAGACATGCATAAGAACAAGTCCTTTCATGTACTGAAAGTGGTTACCACATTCTGAACATCAAATTCACATTATGCACAAACTCCTTTTTCATCCATGGACTTAAACTGCCATGACTCCATTATAAAGAGAGAGGTTAAAACTTGTACAGGAAGTCAAAAGTGCTAAGAAATAAGGAATATGTGGTTTGATGTTCAAGTTCAGCTCCACAACATGTGACTTTTCACAAAAGCAGAAGAAACAAACCTCGTACTCTTTTTGGTTTTGGCATCATCACAACAAAAGCAAAACAGAGAAACTGCTTAAAATTTCCTATTTGCTACGTCTGTATTCAACTCAACCCCTCTAAATCAACAACAAAAACATTAAGATACAAAACCACCTTCCAGAGCACTAGCAACATAAAAGATTGCGTATAACTACTTTAATTAATAACTACTTGCCTTGATAGAGAAGACTTTCCCCCTTGTCTGTTTTTAAAAAGCAGATCTTGTAGAAAGAAATAACTTACTACATTGATATTTCTGTGGGGTTTTTTTTGGCTGTTTTATGTAGTTTAATCTCTAGTGGATTTTCAAACCAGTTACCCTCAATTAATTTTACACATCTGTGTCAATAAACACAACTTTAAAATCAAAAGCTGTAAAACAACTTGGCTCCAAAACACTCATCACAATAAACACAGGGAAAATCTTTGCTTCTTTTCTCTTCAGTTTATTTTCTTCTGATGGGCACAAGCTGGCAAAAGGCATTTGATGCAGAATAACCTGGCCAATTTCAACTGCTCTTTAAAAAGCCTACTGGATTCTCAAACCAGCTACAGTGATTTCAGAACCTCAGAGTATTAGGATCTTCAGTTTAGACTTAAAAATATTGAACAAAAATGAAGAGTGCTCTGCTGTAGCTTGGTTTCAATATATCCACCTTGCCTGGAGAGTAAATGTGCTCTGATCAGTTAGGTTCATTACCATAGGTTCTTAAACACTGCATCTTTTCGGACTCTTACTTGCCAAGTTCAAAAAACCAAACACCCAAACCAAAAAATCTTTGTATTTTGCTCATCACTCCCAGTGAAAGATTGTCTTCAGAGTCATGCCAGGAGCAGAAGGGTAATGGAGGAAGATTAGGTTTCATGTGTGACTGCTCATGTTGGTAAGAGATGGCCATGTAGATTCACTGCTAGCATGGAGCAAAGCCAGAGGAAAAGAAAATGGGAATGACACCGAGCAGTTTTACTGACATAGGTGCTGATGCCCTCAGTGTTGCAGGAGTGGAGGTGGTTTTCCCCTGTTCTCCATATTGCCATCAGCCAGTACAGCCTCACAACTTGCTTCCCTGTTGTCACATGTAACACAGCCCTTTAAAAAGGAACAAGAAATAGTAATTTAAATTCTTCTTTTTATGAGTCTATTTCAAAGGGTCAAATCCTTGATGCTGAAACCTCTCACCAGTGGGCTGAAATCTCTCTAAAAGAAGAGATTATACAGATGTCTTATTGTCAGAAGCAGACACACCTGCAACTTACCTTGTCTCAGAGATTAATTCTTTGGTTACTGGAAAATACAGTTTGAGATGAAAAGGCATGTGGCTTCCTTGAAGACCTTATCATTCAGCTTTATAAGCAAGCTCCTCATTCAAGATTTGAACTGCAGCCCGAACAGCAACAATACTGAACAACACAAAAGGCTGAAACACCCAAGTATATTGACAGACCAGACTGTTCTGGGTTTTAAGAAATAGTACAATATTGAAATACAGCACTGAAACAGAAATCCTACATTTCATTGTACTGTCAGAAGCCTGGCTGTATTCACAAAATCACAATCTGCATTCGAAATATGAGCTACTGCTTAGGAACAGTTTCAGGACCTTAGAAAATACTGATATTTTCATAGCAATACATCTTGTAACATTTGAGACGTAAACATTCAACAAAATTTTCTACAAGATCACTGGACATCATTTTGCCATCTGAATCAAACACAATGTCCTAACCACAGCAGGACACATGATTTTTATCAACAAGGTATTAGGATAACAAAGACTAATTTTTCAGTCTTCTTCCAGAGTCAAGGACTTATATGTCTCAGTTTTTTTCCTCTAAGAACAAATATCACACATTTGACAATCGCCAACATTTGACAATCCCAGAACTCCACATTTGACAATCTCAGCACATACAGCATGCAGTGCTCCAACAGACATGAGACTTTTGTGCTGCCCAAGCACATGAATGTAGCCCACTCTTCCTTGTAATTTTCTGTACAACTCAACATTGAAGTGCTAAGCCTTCGTGGCACTAGATCTGCCTTGCTCTTCTCCACAGCACCTGGGAGTACTCTAAACTGATGAGGACACTCAGAAGCGGTTTAGCGAAGTGCTCAAGAGTTATACCAGCTAAAGTAACTGTGATGGTTGTGACTTGGCTCCCTGCCAAATGCCCAACCCCCCAGTAGCAGCCCCTCTCTTCCCCCCTTTTTACTTCCCCCAGGGCAAAGGAAAAAAAACTATGCAAATTGAAGAACCCAAAAACCAAGCTAGTTATATAAAAAATATATTTTATGTATATTACAGTTAAGATGCTATGTACACAGCAAACGGGAATCCAAACACCCCCCGAAGGGATAGGGAAAGGGGAAAAAGGGACAAAAGGAAACAAAAAGGGACACCGAATAGATAAGCGCAATCAAACCCGAGAACCAGTAAAATAACTAGTAAAACAAATCTCACCACGTCACTTAGAAAGCAGGATTGGCAGACACTGCCAGCACTCTCCAAGGTTCCACGTGGCAGGTCAGTGGATGCTGCAGCCTCAGCCTTAGATAAGCGAGACCAACGCAGGGACCCACTGCTCCCGAACTCCGGCGGAAGAGAAGAAGAACGAAGGCTTCTCCTCCCTTCTTATACCACGATTTACGTAAAAATCGTATGGAATACTGGGAATACTGCCCCTTCTTTGGTTACAAACTGGTAACCAGGGAAGGCCTAGATTAAAACCACCACAGTAACCAAGCATAAGATACCACCTACAAAAAACCAGCTATTTTTGTGTTTCTTACTATAGACTTGAACCTCCTCTGTGATTACGAGCATTTTGCAGCTTGCTGAACACACTTTCTCCAGTCTTCACTGATATCCCAGCATTGCATGCTATTCATAACGACAATCAATTTTATAAGAGCAAAAGTCCTAACATGAACAGAAAAACCATCTCTAGATGTCTTACATGAGATCATGCCACAATTCCCATTTATCCAACACTGTGACTGAAAGAACTTTTCTACAGATAGTTCCTATGCAGAATTTGCATACCTTGAAAACAAAGAAATACAATGGCAAGACCTGTATGCTGGCATTTCTCAGGGTACTCGAGCTCATTTCCTGCTTATACTGACATTCATGACCCCAGCACTGCACGACGACCCCAGCCAGAAACGCCTTGGCTGACCAAGGCAGAAACGAGCTGACAAGTCCTTTCCCACCTGCTCACCTGGGTGCTGATTTGCAGCGGGACAGTCTGGGTACGGATCCACGTATGCACCTCTGCAAGCTCCTGCTTTTGCCCATCTGTAAACCAAGGCTGCCGCTTTCGCATGACTGCCAGCTTCTCCAGATCCTGCTTTAAAACTTCCTCTTTAATTCTGCAGGTAACAGACACCTGTGAACAAAGCTGTGCTACATGAAGCAAGGTAGGCACTGACCATAACTACATTGTGAGAATCTCTTCATCACTACCTATGGCTGAAGTCTAGACAGCATCAGCTTTTGAAAGGGAACTGTACTTTGTATTTTATCTGCTTTGTAAGGCTCCTTTAACACTGGTCTAAGAGTCAGTGTTTTGTTTGTTGTTGTTTTTATTAGAAGTTTTTGTGTGTTTGGTGTGGGGTTTTTTTGTTTTCTTTTATGGCTTTATGTGGCTTTATTTTTAATGTGGAATCTCACTACAAATTATAGATAAGCTAACTGCAAGCAACTTGCAAATAACCTGTATTTTTACCCCTTTATGCAATTTAAAGGACAGGACAATAACCAATCCCATTAACGCTTCAGCAAAAACATCACACATTCCCTTATTTTAACTGAGGGGGGGAAATGGGGAAAAAGTAGACAATAGTAAATAACCAGAGCCTAAAGGGCACAGAAGTAAACTAACACACCTTCTTGAAGTTTCATTGGTATGCATGCTGTTTCCATGGTACATCATTTTAATTCTAAAGTTCTATGCACAATTCCAAAGTACATGTGAGAAACTGTTCACGTTTTCCAACCTGTTTGGCATTTGGTAATTCATTAGAACTCGCTCAGGTGTATGATCCATCATCACCCAGGCTGACTCATGTTTCGATTTATAAGCTGTCCCTTTTTCTTCTGCTTCCTGATTTCTCTCTTCTTTGGAAGTTTCAGAAGAATAATTACCGGCAAAATACTTTCTGCTTTTCCCACTACCTGCTGAGAATGACCACGAAAAAGAATAAATGCAGATCCCTGAAAAATCCCACTAATTCATCACAAAAAAGTAACACACCACCAGTGTATTCTTGCGAGTTAGTTCTGCAATACAAACACAGGTACTCCCAGATGACTGCTCTAGAAATTACTACCTATTGAGAAATCAAAGATAAAGCACATTGTTTAAGTTATTCAAGATCCCCAAGGCTCTATTCAGTCTTCTCAAAATTAATTGGCTTAATTCCTCTGCTTCTGAGAGGTCCTGCTCTAGACAGATTTACCTTTACTCAAGTAAGATGTAAACCAGTATCTAATGCAGAGAAAACTGATAATGAGTAAAATAAAAGAGTGACTCGCAAGTTAAAGGAATAGCTTCTTAGATTCACATTTCCAGCTACAGTGACTGAAACAAACTTGCCTTCAAATGCTTGAAGCTGGTGAAAAGTAAAGGTTATAGATCCTCTTACAGGAACTTCCCATTCCCATTACAGTGCCTTATTATTTATTACATGCTAGCAAGCCATCTAACACCAAATATCTAACTTCCCTACCTGTGCCACAAACAGAAGACTCATTGAAGCTAGAGCCTAAAGAACCACACAAAGCTGATCCACTGCCTGATGCTGCTGCACCTGAACCCAACTGGGAGTCCTTGTACAGACTGTGGTCAGGAAATTCATGAGAAGCACTGTTATCACTATCTTCTGGATCATTGTCCTGGAGATAAAAAGCAAAACCAACATATCCATCGAAGTTATATTTCAGTTTTCAAAAGGAAAGTCATGCATTTACTGAAATTGTCACGCGTTGACCAAGTTCTCCTATCAATTCAACAGGTCTGGAGTTTCTAGTTCTGAAAATGAATGGCGGTCTAGAACTCAGGCTAACACTCTTCATGGGTGAAAAATCAACAAGCCTCTATTCTTGTTTACTGGTTTCTGCTATAGATCCTTCCCCACTTTGTCAAGATATTGTGCTGTTGCATAAAGTTAACATTTTCCACTGACAAGAGAGAAGCAGTCAGTTCCCTTCACATCCTGTAAGATGGCACGAAGCAGCCACACACATCAAGCAATGGTGCACTACAGGGAAAATGAGAGAGTCTTCCCCTGATTCACTATGTGAAGCAACTGCTTCAGCAGCTAGAGGTACATCAACTCCCCTTCCAAGACCCTACCCTGCAGTTTCAGCTGATCCAGCCTTTCCAGCCCAATCTGGATTCAGGAGCCAACATTTTTTTCCTTGCCTGCAGAGCTCAGATTCCTGCCTCTGAGTTTACCACGGAAGTTGGAGAGGCCTTTTCTATGCCCATGTATGGAAACCGACCCACACGGATCCCTGTTCTTCGTTCATTAGCTGCATCCCTGGGAGACAGAGGGAGTAATTAGAAGAGTATCTTCCCTTTGTTTTGGTTCTCCACAGAGACTGTGGGACCGGGTGAAAAAGGATGCAAATTGCGCAGCACTAACCAAGTTCCACATGCATAAAAGCCCCAAACCCAAAATTCTAGCTGACAGTTCCGTTGAAGAGGCTGCTGCCAAAATGCTGAGCAGAAGCAGCTTATGGCAGCCTAGACCAGGAGATCTTACATTTCTGTCATTTACTAAGTGCCAACACTGTACTGGTACAAGTTCCCGTAAGTGCAAGTATAAACTGCTTTTTCTGCCTCCTGTGCTATTTGTGTCCCTCAGCCTACATAGCACAGCCAAAAGAAAAAGCAGCTGACAAAATCTGTGTCCCTGAAACACAGATTATCACCACAGGTTTTGGTGGCAGAACACTGTGAAAATCAGTTTCTCCTCTACATTAAAAATTTGTGTTACTTACACATTTATCTTCTGCATGTGGTTTAACATCAGCACTAATAGAAAGTTCCATGGGCTTTGGCAGCTCTTCTTGAAGCAAATTCAGCTGAAGTGGGGAGCTGCTCCGTGAGCTGCTCAGCAGGAGGGCCTGGTCACACTGGCCCTCTTGCTGGTCCTCCCTGGATGTGTGAAAAGAGGCTGGAAAGGGCTGATCCACTGAGTGTGCTGCTAGGGGTGATGGTGCACAAGGAGGGGGGGCTGGAGGTAGTGCTGTGCATGGATATGAAGAGGGGGGATAAATGCACTGAGGGTTAGGAAGAAAGACATTTTGAGGCATCTGAACATACGGGGGGAAACTCTGAAAAAATACAGCCATAAATGTGCCTATGTTTGGGGGATAAAGGGCTGGGCATGACTGTGCTTCACAGCATAATTGTGATGCTGACAAGGACTCAGGTTGTAATGAGTGAAGGGCAAGTTCCTCTCCTGCAGAAGAGGCTGGAAAACTAGAGAGTGGATCCAAATAGACAGGAAACCCCACAGGAGAATGGACATTCAAACTGGAGGAGCTCAGAGAGGACACTTCTGAGGGAGAGAACAACTGTTTCTGAATTGTTCTCTTCTCACATGGAAGGTTATTTCTATTTTTACTAGAAGACTGGCTATCTGAGGAATGTCTCTGAAGTTTCTGGCGCTTGAATTTTCCATGTCTGCCTTTTTTACAGCTAGCTGGGCTCATCTGCTTTGAAGGGGAATCTCCTAAGAAGAAAGAAAAATAGACACATTTACTGAATGACAGACCTAGGGGGAAAAAAAAAAAAAAAAAAAAGAGAAAACCACAAACACACAGATAATTGAGTACGGCTTATTCAGAGAGCTAACCATCCTCTGGATAATTTTTCCATAAATTAGTGATGGATTTGCTGATATATCTACAATATCTTCCTTCATGTCATCAGCTTTCTTATCAATCACTTTGGCTTATCCCAATCAGATCTTTTACATTCTTTCAAGGAGAGGCAATAAACTACTTGGGGATTTGCAGGGTTTATTGCAACAACCATCTGCTTTGTGAAAGATAGTAAGATCCAAGATGGAGCAGACCTTCTATGTGGGTAATACTGCTGCCAAACTCTGCAGTTCAAAGAAGTGTTCTGTTTGCAGACACAGTAAGACACTCACTAAATCATACGAAGGAGAACCAGGCTCCATGGCTAGCTTGCTTTTTTTAAGTCACCTAGCAAGTCTTGATTTCTCAAAGCTGCTGCCTACCTTGGCCACAGGAATGTCTGTTGTTACTTCTGCTTCTTTGTTGAAAGTAAGTCCTAAATGGAGAAAGCAAGATCTTCTGTCGGAACTTGTCAACATAGTTCTGTTCCTCCTTTTGAGTGTGGGCTGACAATGTCTCTTTTGTTAGCCCAACTGGCTTTAAGTCCTCAGGCAACATAGAAGGACTCTGAGCATTTACAGGAGGCAGTTCAATTTGTTCACTTCCAACAGCAGTATCCTCCATTGTAGTCACTTCTTTGAAGAGGGAGAAAATACAAATCACTCTTTGCTCTGGCCTTCTGGTGTCAACTCCCACAACACCCAGATGGCTACAGAGAAAACAATCTCATCTGAGCGACCAAGCAGATACAGGCTGCAGAGGCAGCAGGAGAAAACACCCTTTATACTCAAATACAGTTACATTAACATCAACTGAGCAAATTATTTTACATGGTCTGGAAAACTCAAATTCCCTTTGAGGTTATAGGCAGTTCTTTTTTCATATTTTCTTAGTACAATAGCAGCTAAACACTGATTTTTATGCTTCTTTCTGCATAAAAATGAAGTAACATTGGACCATAAGTAATTTTTGTTTTAATCCTCAATGGCCAAAAGCACACTGCTGTGTTTGAGGTATATGTGATGAAATTCAAGGGGAAAGGAAATAGTGCAGTCTGCTAAAACTGCACTACTAAAATACTCAGGCTCAAGCTTTCTTCACAGTGTCCCAAAAAGTATCTCAATATTTCAGAATTCACATTCAGCCAAATGTATCTTAAATGGACACAACTTTTTCACAGTGTACTTCTGTCTGGAAACACTGTGTAAATTCAAGAATCAGTGAGTCAAGTCAGTGTTTTGCAAGTGTGAACAGTACCTGATTCAGGATGTGGCACATGCACTATAGTGCTGCTGTAGCTGCACTGGCTGGTGACAGACACCACACTTGGAGCCTTGTTGGACAGGGTCAGGTCTGCCAGAGGAGCTCCCACCATGCCTGCAGTTCTCTGGTCTTTCAAGGCCTCTTCCAGACCAGCAGATATTGGAGTGTGGGACTTAACTGCTGACAGCATAGCAGTATCTATTGGTAAATGACAAAAGTTTCTACATGGAATTTCATTCCAAGCACTATGCTCCCAATTCCTCAAGTCTGACTGGTTCAGAAATAACCAGTAACTAGGCAGACTATTAAATAAGACAGTCTTCTATACAACAAAACATTCACATGCCAGTGTATACTAAATGTGGCATAAAATGAGTGAGCAACAGAAGGTTCATTCAGCAACAACAAACAATACTTCTTTTGAAACATTCTATGTTCAAAGACTTAACACTGTAGCTTACACTTAACTGTGAGATTTAGGCAAGGTAAGGAAATATTTACCACGCACCTAAAATGTTGTCAGCAGCACAGCAATTTAAAAAGTGGACATAAACCTTGGAACCCATAACAATCGACACATAAAAATTAAATTAGATGTTGCGGTTCTATTATGATTGTCAGTACACTTCGTGTTACCTTCCAATGCCTGGACTTCCTGCTCACTTTTCTGGACTTGTTTGTCATCTTCTGAAGATGATGATGATGATATATTTGCAGAAGATTTACATTTCCTTTTCAATGCTGGAATACTGCAGCTCTCTAGATATCTGAAATGAAAGCATATCACAGGAAGCTCTCCCTACTTTATGGTTTTTTTCCATTAGGAGATACAAACATTTGAATAATCCAAACTGGAGATCCAGAGGTTGTTAGCTAGTATTTTAAATTCATTCCAGGAAGTTCTGGACACGTATCTGCTTTCCAAGGAGTATTTTAAATAAAATCTATCACTCTTTGAGGGGAAAAAAAAAAGAAAGAAAAAAAAAAAAAGAAAAAAGATTACATTATCCACTGGGTTAAAAATGCCGACATTCTATAAATTGTATCAACTTTCTGTTTTGTATGGATGTTCTCAGAGCATGTAATGAGAAGACACTGACATATATTATGCCCATCAAAATTCACCTAAATTCCTATTGCACCAATGGTGAAATTAGCAGTAGACAAACATCAAGAAATAGTTGCATACAGAATCTTAAGTCCTAAATTCTTCATTACTGTGTAAGTCAGGTTGGGTGATCCATCCCAATGCTCAGTCAGAGAGGGACAAAACTTTACAAACAATCCCAGATTCATCTCACAACTCAAAATCATGAGAGTTTTAAGACTAATACAAAATGCTTGGATATTTACTTTCCACCAAATAATCTTAAACTTGTATCACTAAAATTGCTTCACAGTTGCTTCATACCTGATGATACTATCGACACAATTGATCTGCTGATAGGAGGGAATATGCAGAGTCTTCTTTGGATCATCATAAAATGTGTTGCCTGGTTTTTCTGTGCTATCACTTCTCAACGTCTGAAGGAAACAGGAAGCAGTGTGCCTCTTCCCTGGAATACAGGAAATCTTAAAGATTTCTCTTAAGGGCATCTAAACACTACTCTCATCAAGACACACACACAGAGAGAGAGAGAGAGAGAGAGAGAGAGAGAGAGAGAGAGAGAGAGAGAGAGAGAGAGAGAGAGACACATATGCATTTAGACTGTGATACATATATATAATACAAGGATATATGGCCTATGACAGCACAGCTCTCATTACCAAGTTATTCTGCATTTTCAACTCAATTTATATGTTTTGAGGCAGGAGAACCTATGCCTGAAATAAAACAAAACCCCACATACTGCCTTAAACATCCTCTAGAACAACTAGCAAACACAAGCAGCACATAGAAAACGTCTGCTTTTAAATTGTAAACAAAGCTGCAATTAATACTACTCTTCTTTCTTATCAACTTTGATAATACAGTTTTCTAGGACAACATCAGTAGTTAACAGTAACTTTATTAGTGAGTATCATAGTGGAAAATGTTTTAATACAGATTTCTATGATACTTGAGAAAGCATCCAGGTTTCTCCATATATTTGCACTAGGTACTAACTGCAAATAATATGCATTAGGATAATATTAAGCACTCAGTAACCAAACCCCTATTTCAGCAAGAAGTGAGGCAGTATTGTCCAACCTGTGATTGTTTTGAAGACTCCACATTAAGTAATTAAGGGAAGCTTCCACAGTACTTGCTACCAGCACATGTGCATTTTCACCAGAAAATGTTAAAATAAATAGAAAAGTCTATTAACCTAGAAACAGATATGTTCCTCCATATCTCAAGGAGGAGTTAAAAAGTTATTGCATCTGCTGCGGTTTCTTGAAGGGGTGTCTTTGGAGGCTTTTTTGCTTGTTTGGGTTTTAAACAGAACAAACCTCTTCCCACATTTAAGACATGCCAAAGTGCTATCTGGAGTTCTTCAGCATCACACCAGCTAGCCAAACTCAGCGTTACAGATCTACAGGAGTTCATGTTATCTTACAGAATGTAACTACATTAACTTACCTCCTAGCACTTCTGAGCTCACAGCCTGTTCATTTCCATTCTGTGGCTTGCTCCTTGATGCAATATATAGCTGCTGTCCCAGATTCTTTATTCGGTTCACATCTGCACAAACTTGTTGCAATGTCATCTTCAGATACATGAAAAATGTGAAGTAAGAATGAGTACAAAGAGGCCATAGGAGTTGATGTGAGTTCTTGTATTCTTCAAATTGAAAGTGAGTGAGTGGACTGTCAGCCTAAGCCTAATATCTGTTGGTATTTGTAAATTTAATTAATCCAATTATCATGGTTAATTTAAGTAAATTACCTATGACAAAGCTGAAACAGGTTCAGCATTTGAATGTTTTAATACAGATGACAAGCCTTTAGAGTGGGAGTAAGTTGATGACTTACCCAGGAGCCTCAGAAGGAAATTAGGTAATTGCAATGCTTGTTTTAGGACAGCCACTGTTTTCTACAGTAGCCAGCAAAATTAAGAGCAAACCCCAAAAGCCAGCACTCTGTAACTGACCAATTTAGCTTGAATATAGCTGTGTTCTTCCTACTTCAGTAAAATTCACGATGAGAAGTGCATACGGGAGTAAACATTTTCATTTCTAAAAGTGCATTTTTACTACTCTGCAGGCAGCAACACATTTATATACTTACTGGTTCTTGTATTTCCTCTGTACAATTCCCATTGGAGTCACTTGAAGAAGCTATGCTGATATAGTGCTCATAAGAGCCACTGCTTCCAAGGCTTCCATAACCACTGGAAACATTGCTGTGAACTGGCTGTATGAGGGGGAAAGATAGTAATTAAAAATTTATGCTCTTAGAGAACAAACTGAAGGAAACAACATGCTTTACAACACAGAACTTCAAGTAAACACAGAAAATCAAGTGAAAACTCCGTACTTGTCTGGGCTCTACCATGTGCTTAGGAAGAATTCTCTACCATACTTCAAACTGTTTCAGAAGGCAGATTTATCTTTCAACACACAAACTTGTCAAACTTTTTTTTGTAATGAGGTGGGCCTGTCTCCATTTAGACCTTTCCTTTCAGACCTTTTAAAAGACAATCCTCAAAGTAGCCTGCTAAGCAGACTCAAGTTTCTTTAGCCTTTCATTCAGAAGGCCATCCAGTGTTCTGAAATTCTTTCATCTTCTTTACCTGCAGAAGCAGTTTGTAAATTTGTCCTTGCAATTCTCTTATCTCTTTCTCCACACTGCTTGTTTCTTTACTTCTTGCAGCAAAGACATCTTCATTCAGAGGGCTTCTGGAGAGAGCCAACAATATTTCACTGTTCATTTTAATTCAATGAAGAAAAGGTAGCTATAAACAGTTAGAACAGATTCTTTATTTTATTATCATTATTTTATTTTGACTGCTTCGCTGAACCAACACAAAGGGATGTCATCTGTCCCAACAGCTGCTCTGCTGGGGTAGTGGGGCAGTGCTATGAGAGCAGGTGACCTCCAGGGAAGCCAACAGACCAGCAGAGACACAAGTTAGAAGGTTGACAAGCATCTACCCTTTTGTCTCCTTCACTCAGAACACAAATTCACACCCCATAAAATCTTGAATAAAAGATCACTTTGAAAAGTCAGAAGGTCATCCCAAAAAGCCATTTCCTATAAGAGAAACCAGGTAAGAAGAAGACAGTCATATTTTCAAATCTTTTGGAAACTAAGGAGAAACACTTGCAAAATTAGCTTGCACATTCAACACTAACTGCATTTTTAAAGACACCATTTTGGTAAATGTTTACCAAATTCCAGATTTGTAACCAGATTCTGCATCAAGTAAATGTTCCAGAAGAAAACATGCCAGATGATCAATGAATTGAGTTTTTTTGGGTGAGTCAATCATGAATTTTAAGTAATTATTTGTTAAAGGGACCTACTTTTTATGTTGCTTTTTGGCTTTTACTCATCTAAAACTGGTATTTTGATTTAGATATGTCCATTGTCATAGTATTTGGACATCAAGCATATGAAAAAAACATGCTAAAAAAAAAATTTACCTTTGCCTTTTAGTTCAAAGCAATTAACTTATTTTCATACTTAATAAACAAGACTAATGCTATTCTGAAGGAATGGGCTAAAGACAGATACTAGGTAGTTATCATTTGCAAGACCAACATTACATCTCTATTTTAGTACTTAGACTTTTTTGTTTTGCTGAGTAATCAATGAAAAGGACTTTAATAGATCAATGCTACAACTGACTTACGTCCGGACTTTGTGGCGGCCAATGATGAACACTACTTTCCTGCTCCAAGGATTCACAAAACTGGACCAGCTGGTATCCAGTATAACATAATCCCCATTTTGAGTACAGAATCTAATAGGTAAATGTTCAAAAGGGGGTTGGCCAGCAAATTTCAGTACTGAAAAAAAAAACCACAACAAAGAAACAAGGTTTAGTTTACATTATGACACACTAGTGCAAGCACAAACACTAATGACTGAGGTCCTTAAAACTTTGTGATTCAATATGCTTTGATCTCAAACTGATTGCACTAAATTTTTGTCTAGACTGCAGATAAGTCACATGTCAAGCAATGTGATAAGGAAAGAACTGCAAAACCTATAGAAATTCCTCTAAAAGCTACTGTACTTACTTTTCCGGTGAATAGTAATCATCAAAGGACGATCTTCTGGGTGCAAATACATCAGTATGGATGTTCCAATTAAATCTTGGGGTAAGTAACCCAACAAAGGCACTGCTCTGAAACCCGAATACATTATCACAGGTTATAATAAAATTTTGAGTACTTACATCCTTAACCCTTTGCTTGTCAGTGAAGTGCTCATGCATGATCTACAATGGAATGAACTAAGGCTACAGAACATTTTCCAACCTAATAATCCTCCACTGCAGTACACACACGTAAATACCAACGACAAACGCTTCTGTGCCTAAAGATCTAATAGATATTCACATATGCAGGCAGTCTTGTGTTTGTCTACATGCAAAAAAAAAAAAGGGATCTTGAAAAAAAATAAGTCACAGGTAAAATGGGAGTAAGAAATCTGACAGGCATAGTGCAAGATGTATTGTAAAAACAGTCTTGTGGCGTTGCAGGAGACAGTTTCTGTCTGGCCAAATTTATTTGACCGAGCTCAGTCCAGCCGTGTCACCACTCTGATCCCCAGAGCTTAGCGTTATGCACGTTTTCCACTGTGGGTGCTATCACAGCTCTCCATTACCCTGGGTAATGAAAACTGGCTGTGGTTCTGTTCAATACGCATGTTAAGACAAGAAAGGAGATTACATGGAGTGCAAGATGTTTTCCATGAGTGGACTAACACAAAACTCTTTTGTTTAATTAACTATTGCCAATTGCATAGTTCAACTTACAGTTCAACGTATCTTTACTTCGGTCTCTAGCTACGTCAAGGGATTTTTTCCTACCTCTCCATGCATACCTCATAGGTCTTAAGACTCAAATCTCTCACCTGTCATCTATGTCCAGAAAAACACATCCAGGGGTGTGAGTGGTGGTGAAGATTCTTTTATCCATAGGAATTCGAGGAGCTAATAAAAACAAAATATGCGCTAAGACAGAAAACCTAGGCATTACTTTTGCTCATGACAGAGATTCATAGGCTCCTGAACTGTTTGATTGTTCACTGCTTTCTGACCAATTCATAGAAACGTTACAGATTTTTACATGCTACAGACTTCTCTCCAAAATAAAAATAACGAGGAGAGGTGAAATGCTTTGGGGCTTGGCAAAGGCAGCAGAGATGCTCTGGATTCACATGCATGCACACACAAGCTGCAAGTTACACAGGTGAGACTGCCCAAGCACAAGTTCTACACAAAGGAAGTAGGCTTTCATATACTGCATTCAACGGAATCTCCTGACTTGCCTTCATATCCAGAGTGAATTTTCTCAGCCAAAGCTAAGCAGCAGGACTCTGCATCCACATGGACAGAAGTACACACATGGACCAAGTATGGGGTGATTCGGAAGGGGTAACAACGTGTTTCTTGCTCTTGATCTTTACCACCCCTGAGGAAAAGTAAAAGGGATTCACACACACTGCTTTTGAGACTCACATATTTTGTGTCAGGGCTGAGAGCCCTGCATGGAGAAGTTATGCTGAGCACACAGACTCAGATAATCAGGTCCTATACACACTCCCTTGTGATTCAGCAATACTTATCTTTCTCCGCTCAAAATCAAGTAGGTGTTTTGCCTCCAATGCTTGCACTCAGAGGTTGTCTAAAAATACTCTTCCTCTAATGGCTGAAGGCTACCTTCTAATTCTCAGTCCAAAAGTATTCACAAGAACTACTCATTTGGTTTTGTGCTCTCATTCAGGATAAACAGTTCTTTTTCTGTTTGTTGTTTATCCTGTACCACTCTTACAGAAAAAAAAAAAAAATCTGACTCACTCAAGTTTTGATTCACAGACCTACATAAGTAAGGCTCCTCCAGCCTTTTTGCTGTTGACTGCCCTCCGTGAGAATCTGTCTTCCTAGACCATGGGGAACAGTAGCAGCACACAACATTGTAGAGGAGATCTTAACCATGGCTTTGCAACAGCTGCATTAGCGACTGCCCCTTTCTATTCCAAGTGTTATAAAACTGCAGTATCTTACCCAGCTCTGACAGAAAGAATTGAGACAAATTTTTGGAGATTATTCCTTACACTAAAAGTTACTTTCTTATTCCACACCTAGTTTTGTAAAATGATTTCAGAGAGAAGCTAGTGTAATAAAACCTACTTCTGACACCCCTGCCTTTGGGAAAACAAAAGACACAAATGGAAATTGGATACAGCAGAAATTTAACTAACAAAAAACCATTTTCTTACTTAAACCTTATGTGTGCCTGTGAAAAAATACTTTTATTCATGATGCCGACATAATCAAATGATCTGTTATGTAAGGGAAGTAGAGGCAGATGTCTTAGGAAAATATGAAGAAAAACTATTGTAAAATGTTTACAAACAGTTCCCCCAACTCAACATTGCTATCTGTCCTGCTGTATTTATTCCAGGTGCCCTTACACAATTCAAGATACAAATGATTTTAGAGCTCAGGTTTTTGCGACACATATGAATGAATCAATGATCACCTGAAAGATGGAGTAAGTGTTATATCTGCTCAGAAGCAAACAGTTCTTACTAAGATCAAGACCTGAGTCTGGAACAGAACTGCACTGAAGATTAAAGGGCAATTTCAGGTTTTTAATTCTTTTAGCTCTTAGATTAGTGAGGTACAAAGCAACAAACAGCATCTCCAGTGACAGCAAGTAGTATCTCAGGAGTCAGGTCTCACATTGGGACTCAGGCGACTGAGTTTCTGCTAATGCTTCCATCACAAACTCTCAAGTAATCTTAATCTTAACCAAAACAATCTTTGCCTCCATCCTCAAACGAGATCATTCTTCTCCTGCATGACAGTACAGAAAGAAACTGATAGATCCAAAACAAACCTGTATGAACAATTTTCTTCTATCCCCGTGTAAGTTTAAGCATCACTCTGGGGAGATATTCAAAGTGTCCTACTGAATGCCAATATTAAACAAACAAATCCATTTTGTAATGGAGTTTCACGAGCTCACACTGGTCAGCTGTAACAACAGAACAGCTTCTACCTAGTATGGTACCCTTCGTAAGCCTTCACAAAACTGTAATAGTGTACTTACCTGATCCTGCAGAAAAAGGATTTCACCCGGGCATATTCATACAGAGAAGCTAATAAGAAGAAGACATTTGAAAGTATCAGTTGATATGCTCAAAAAGGTCACACCTATCAGAACTATTTTAAATTCTGCATTCTCCAGACCTTCTGAGCAAGACTGATGTCTCACGACCTACTCTTCATTAGTTACTGAATTAGGTGCTCAACAGTCTGCTCCCACCTCAGATGTTATCTCTCTTGTCCAGCCCACTCACTCTTAGGGAAGTGGCTGACCTGAAACTAAACTCAGAGGAAATGTGTATGACCTAAAAAAAATCCCTTCTCTAGTGCATCACTAGGAAAAGCAAAGTTGACATTTACTGGCTTTATGAGCCATGTAACAAAAACCATATACAGGCAAGAACAACTTGATTGGGGTGCTTCTGCTCTGCTGGGTAAGCACGTGACTGGCTGCCAAGTTGTGGAATCCCTGGCATATTAGCATTTGCAACCTGCAGATGTCTCATCATCCTTTGACAGCAAGGACTTTGGACTTCTCAGATCTGATGCCAGAACAGCCTCAGAACAACCCTAGGTGGGCAAAAGACACGCCCTCGAAACGCAAGCTACGTTTAAATTAAATTGCTCACAAATAACACATGACTCAAAAGTCAAAGTTTAGACACATCCAGCACTAAATAACAAGTCCGCTTAAAACTTGGTTTTGGTGAGCTATATTCACAGCAGGAAGCAAGTGGGCCATAAAGACAAAGCACCTAAGCAACCATAAGGTATAGATTAAACAACTTCAAACTCACAATTAGACTTTTAGTTTCTTTTAAAAAGCATCAGTATTTGGAATGAGTATGATGGTACATGAAACAACGAAGTATCTGTCTTTTACTTACCCCAAGTAAGAGTTAAGCCTCTAGGAGACTAGCAAGAACTAATCCCACAGCTACTCCAGTTTTCAAAGTGGAAAGGAAACAAGTGTTGCTGATGTATACTGCTAGTATAAGCATTTAAAATGAACTACTATTCTATCCTCATTCTGTAAAGACAGAAAGACACACAGAGTATTTAAAAGCATTGCCAAGTCCTACCTGTTTCACTTTCCATGTTCCAAAGTGGCAGGTGAGAGTGATCAGTGTGTGCGTAGAACACACTCACATCCTGAGGGACAAGCAACTCTACAAACCGGGAAGACTCCAACACTTTCTTCTTGTAGTTTAGGATAGATGCTGCCTGCTCAGAAATATGCACTATGCGTCCAGAAAGCAAAGAAAATACAGCCACAAATGTGTCCTGGAAAACAAATGTTAAAGGTAATCGTCCCTCCAAACATGGTAGTGATATTGTAAAGATAAAAAGCAAACCAACCCCAAACCAAACCAACCAACCCCAAACCATGATATACCACAACCTTAGGATGAGGTTCAAAAATGTGTTAATTTAGCATCCAATTAAAGTAGCGTGTAAACTACTACACTCTCCAATGCCATAACAGCATACTCAAGATTTACAAATGGTAGTAAAACTGCCGTAGCAAAACTGAAACCAGTGATGCTTGTCTTTGCCTAGAATGACTGGTTATCACTCCACGTAGTTCTCCCCAAATTTCAGAGGGTTCACTACAATTCCGCATACAAAAATACTGAGAGCTTTTTAAACAGCAAGCATTTGAAATACTTCTGATACAGCATCTAGCCGTATTGAATTTCGAAAAGAAATTATTTCTTCAAAATAGAGCCAGAAAGCATGACAGATATTGCAAAAAAAGAAAAAAAAAATTAAATCCAGAGTACAAACAGAAAAAAAAAAGCCCCTCACAACTCTAAACTTGATTGGTTGTGAAAACTTTTTGCTGTCTCAAGAGACTACTACACTGTAAATGAATTCTCAAAGAGCTATCTGTTGCTTAAAAAAAACCAACAAACCACAAGAAAAATTAGTATTTCTTCACTCATCATCATTGGGTACCTAGAGACAGCACGGATAAGAAGTAGTCCTGATCTAACTTTAAAAACTTTAAAGCCTGGCAGGCTAAAAATTAAAGGCATTTCAATTTTACACATTCTATTTCCACAGAGCAATGTAAGGAGACTAAACAGAGTGAAATGGGAAGTGATGAACTCCTTGAGTGTGCCTGAATTCTTACAGTGTTTTTTGGAGTGTGTTCAGATGCAGCTGCCACCAACTCTTCTATGCTGTATGTCACCACATCGGTCTGAAACGCTCTTCGGTCATTCAGAGCCTGGAAAAAGTCATTGTTTGCTAATTGAAAAAAAACAAACAGAAAAGCAAAACAAACACAAGACGGTCAGTAAGGAGACTACTTTTGAAAGTATTTCTTACAGCCCTTGTACTTTTGTCATCTTTTTGGTGAAGTCCAAGGTAAGATGAGGAAGGTCTGTGTAGTGACAAAGGGAAAAGGAATACTGGTTATACTACTGGAGTGACCTAGTTATGTTACAGAAAACAAGCACGAAGAAGTAGAAAGGACAGAACATGATAGCAAAAGAACAATTTTAGCTACCTAGTTCTAGGTTGAAAAACACAAACTATCCAGTAACTTTGCAAAGTAGGATGGGAATGATGCGTTTTCAATACACACAGAAAGGTACTAGTAGGCACCTATTAGCTATGGGACTCTGAAGAAAAGAGAAGCAGTAGATGGGTATTTCAGTAGAAAAGATAACATGATTGTTTAACAAAAAAATCCCAAGAAAAACCCCATAGTGCTTCAGAAAGTCAACTGTTAGCAAGATAACTAGAATGCACTCTTTTGTTTTAATGCTATTTGCTGTCAGATACATCTATTCAAACCACGCTGCTGTTCCTCCAGATTTTCTCCACACATACCTTGGACCTGCTGAACACACTGTAAGGCATAGTTGAGAGCACTGATGGTGCTGGGCTTGCTGGAATTCCTTTTCTCTTCAGGCAAACACCTTTTCATTTCTTGGATCATCATCATCAGATCTCTGTGAGACTGCCTCCAATTCAGCTGCTCACTGTAAAACAGAGGTTAAACTTTACCAGAGAATTCTGGTACAGAAGCTTTCTTTTCTGTCACTGACTTAAAATTATTCACTAAATAAACATTTTATGGGATTGGCTGCAGCGTCACACAATATCCAGAAATGTCCTAATGCTCCTTCACTAAATTTCCTGTTGTATTTTTCTCACTTCTTTGCTACTTGAGCTGTTCTCCTCTACCTTCCTTGATTCCAACTCCAACACGTCATAGATGGCAAAGTCCCATCAAACCCACTCTGCTTCTTAAGATGCTTAGCAACTAAAAATTAGCTGATGTTTAGATTTTGTAAATCTCACTAGTATTAAAATCATTAATAGATGCTGATTCTTGATCTCTGTAAGTTTTTACAGCCTTGAAGTCCGCATCTGATTATAAGCACCTCCGGGAATCATGAGGTTCTCAAAATACACCTGATGCGAAGATTTCATTCCTCACATGACTTCAGAGTCTTCACTGTACTTTGAGTTGTTGGCTTCAACAGCTGCAGAACTGTTAAAAGGCAAAATCTCCCCCTTCTTACATTTGCTTATTTCTTTGATTAAAAAATAAGCACTCCATATCCTCAAATGAGATTCTAATCCTATAGATAGGATATGAACGTGATTGCTTTTAATAACTTTTGTCTATTTGACGTTGTTATTAGTATTACACTCTTATTACATAAACCATTACAGACGTTCAAGTATTTCATGTTAACAAGCCAGTTCAATGTTTCATAAATTACAGATCTTAAACTTTTCCATGAATTAAAAGAAATTACCACCTCACTGAATTTCTGAACTTCCAGGAAGCGTATTATTTCAGTAATTTCTGCTTTGGTACTGCCAATTACGGTCTTAACATACACACAAGGCATACCAAAGGGTCACTGCCGTGCACGGCTCAGCCGATCTCCGACCCAGGCACATCTCAAGGAGCCGCGCAGCAGCAGCAGGCTCAGCTCCTTCCCACACCCCTCGGTCCCGCAGTCCCCGAGCAGCCCCCACGGGTCACGGCCGCACCGGGTCCCCGGCACCCGCCCGGCCCCGCCGGCTGCCCGGTTACCTGTTGGCTTTGACGGCGGCCGAGCCGCCGCCGGACTCGGGGCTGTGGAGCTCCGTCCCGCCGGAGCCGGTTCCCGCACACGTCGTACACCGAGCGCCCGCCGGCTCCCGCCCGGTCCCCGGGCACTGACCGGCGCCGTGCTCCGCGCTGCCCCCTCGGCGTTCGCCCGCGTCCATCTCGGCTCTCCTGAGAGCCACAGCGCGGGGGCATCGGCCGTCACGAACCCTCGGCACAGCCAGAGGTACTGGCACCGGTGCTGTAGGGAGAACACGCGCCGCCCCCGGAGACAGCGGCAGGAGTGGTGTTCCCCCTCCTCCCCCCGCCAAGCGGAGCGGGCACCGGGGCCGGTTCTGCGCTCCCGCGCTGCTCTCCGGCGCACACTCCCTCAGCTCGCCGCTCGGCTGGATTCCTCACAGAAGACCCCGCCTGATCCCGGGCGGCCTCCGTTTCGTCTTCCCCCCCCTCCGAGCCCCCCCCCCCCACCCCAGGCCGCGCCTGTCCCGCCAACCCCGGGCTGTTCCCGCTCCGGGCCGGGAGCGCCCTGAGGGGCCGCGCCCCCGTCCCGCGCGATTACATAACGCGGCGCACGCGGCGACCCCTCTCCCACACACCCCCGCCACGTGCGAAAGGAAGAGGAGGCGGAGGCGGGGTCAGAGCCGTTTATTGGAGGACACCGCGCTCAAAGGGGCGGGGCCGCGGCCCCGCGTGCGCAGGCCCCGCCCCTCACGCGGCGCCGCACGCGGCCCCCGTGCGCGCGCCTGCCCCGCCGCCACGTGCCGGGCCGGGGCCGCCCCCGGGCGGGGCCGCGACAGGGGCGGGGCGCCCACGCGCGCGCAAAGCGCGGGGCGGGCACGGCGGCGGTCACGCAGCTCCAGAGCCGGGTCCGCCTCAGCAGCTCTGCACCCCAGTTTATTAAGGCACTGTGCAAGTGGTGAGCTGTGCTTGTTAGTAATTCATGGCAGGAGTGTCTTAAGGCAACCAGTAAAGTTAGTTAACATTTCAGTAATGAAAATAGTTTTGCTTTAAACAGCAGTAAAGGGACTGAAAGTGCAGCAGGTTTGAAGTGGAGAGGCTGAAGATTCAGAGGCACCTTCAGTTGATCTGAGTTTCTTCCTGTAACTCATGAAGACACAGTGGAGACTACAAAAAAAGAAAGAAGTTGGGCACTGTCCTTCAGCCCCTCACCATAACAATCCTGCATTTTAAGAATTTAAGATAATAAACATAAATCCCTCTTAAATCCTCTAAGAATTTGCCCATGCTGGTTTTCTTTTAGCTGCACTTTTTCTTTGTGTTTGCCCTCCAATACTGGTCACCCAGGACAACATCTCTGATGTCAGTGGTTACTGCAGTGTTTGTTACTGTATCACAGCACAAACTTAAAACCTTTGTCTTCCCGTTAAATACCTGGTGATCACATGGGGACTATACATTCCCTGGCTCTCTATCCTAACCCAACGTTATACTCATTTCATCTGGCAGCAAAACCTCTACTCAAAGAAAACCTCCTTGCTATGGCAGTGCACTTGGAACTCCCACACCAGAAGAAGTTTATCTAGCAGGAAGCTACGGCAAATGATAAACAGTTCTCAGACAAGGGAGGTGTGTGGAATTTCATCTTATACTTCTGCAACATGCAGCTAAAAAAAAAAAAAAAAGCAAGTCTGTTCCTGGTTTCTCAGTCCTTGCTATTTTCATAGCAAGGTGGTTGATACTTAGGTCCCATGGTAGCCCCAGTTTACCACTCACTGCAAACAATGCTTGTTAAAAGCTGTCACTACTACTTCAAATTAATGTTGTATATACTTCTATTTGAGCATCCTGGCTTCATTTAAACTGTACCAGTCAGTGAATTAACACCATTTATTCCAAGCCTATGAGAAATCCCCACTTCAGTGAAACTTACCGATGATGATGATGATGATAATGACAACAACAGCTATCAATATTGCCCACATCTGTGAAAAGAAGCCACACAACACTTACTACAAACCATGCCACAGCAATAACTATCCCTCAGGATACGGGAAAACAGTTCCTGCAAGGGACTTTAGCACCACGTGTCAGATCTAACATGGCAAACAAAGCTTCTTCAGTAAGCAAGCTTGATCCACACTTAGAGATGGCAGGCCATGCACACAGGTAAAACACAGCAGTACAGTCTTCTCCACATAGAGCTTGTCTCAAGTGAATATACAAGTCTTTGTTACTCACCAAAGACGATTCCAACCTTTGCCAACAGCTACAAGTACAGGAGTCTGAGTGAGCTTCTTCCACTTTCTAATACTTCCTCTACATTAACTCAAGCTATGCATTTTTACGCTTTTCTTCCTGTTCTTCAACACCTCAGATTACTGACATGTTTCTCCTCTGGCCATTACCATCTTACACATGATCTTGCATAGGGCAGCATGGCCACTAGTTCAGCTTTACATTCATTCACCCAGCCACTATGTCAAGCTTTAAAAAACTAGATGCTGTAAGTTAAACAACATTGGCTAAAGTAACTTCTACCTTTTGAGACGCCAATTGTAATAGTGTTACCTGTAGTACTGCACAGCATAAGTACACAAGGGAAGGTTACCTTACAGTTCTTCCACCAATACTTCCTTTTCAGCTTGGCTGCGCTGGTCTCAAATTGGGAAGCTCCTGCTTGCAGTGCATCAGCACGGTCATCCAGCTCTGAGAGCTTTTGATCTCGTTCCAATACCTTGTCCACATTCACTCTCATGATGTCAACAACCTACACCAGTTTAATGCTTACAGTAAATTACCAGTTGTATAACCCACGGCAGAACATAATTGCAAGCAACAGACAGCAACATGTGGTACTCAAAGTTCTCTTTTCACAAGCACGAGCCATTGCCTTTTAATATATGCAGTCATAAGCTTAAACAAAACTCTGGAATTCACAGCTGGGCTGGAAGCCCCTAATACCTACTTCAAAAAGTCAGTAATGCCAGTAGTGTTGGCATTCCTTCAAACCTGGGAAATAATTCCTGACTCGCTTCAGAAGGAGTTGAGGCATATAAACATGATAGTAAAGCATATGTCAAAAAATACTCTTGCTAGCCAGCCTGGCTTTTGGACTCCACCAAAATCTAGACACATCATATTTGGCAGTCAGCCCTCATGGCTACTGATGAGAAAAAAGGTTTTTCTCTGTAAGAACAAAGGTTTTTATCTTTAATTTTGCCAAATCCTCAAGCAGCAAGACTGCAGCTAATATTTGGACCCTGGTAACTTCTCTCCACTTCCCCTTCGTATAATGAAGGGAAAACTGCTTTGGTAAAAATATCCCTTCTAGTTATACAGTTTTCCTGAAGGAAAACAATGACACTGCTGTTGGACTAGACTTTTACCTCGTCTACTTGGTGCTGAGTCTGCTGAAGCCGACGATTACTGCCAGCAGCCACATTTGAGCTTCCAGGGATATTGGCTGACCTGCAGTAAAGAAAAGCATCATTATTAACCTGACGTTCCTGAGATGTATCCTTGGAATAAATGTAGGGCAGTTTCTTACTGAAGAAACAGCATTTTAACAGCAGACATTAAGTGCAAGTCACGCAGTGCTCCAAATATCTTGTCAACAAACTGCCTGCCATTCTAAGAGACAGCAATGGCTTGCTAATACCACATTTTGCAGTAAGGCACAGGACAGCTCCAACAATGGTTCATAGGGCTCAAGGAGTCAAGAGTTTGGGCGCAGGGGTGTTCTTGCTTTCCACTATGAACATAAATATTAAGTTTCAAGCTACAATAGTTTATAAAAAAATTAAATACAAAAACTTAATGCTTATTCTAACTATGTGCTTCTCTACTGTTGTCTGTCTCTATTATTTTGAAACGGTTGATACAGAGCAAGCAAAAGCACCAGAAGGAAAAAGATTTTGACATATACAAGAATTTACTTCTGGTCAGCTTTGAATTCATAACAGAGCTTTTTTTTTACCAACTTCAACACTCTGCATCTCTGTAATGGATGCAAGGGTTCCCATACATAGCCCTCATACCCTTCTCACTGCTTTGCCAGCTTTTTATTGCATATCTCTAGAACTATCTGCAGTCAATTTCCTTTTCTATGTTGTTATTTCTTCCACATCAGACCCTTGTCGTGGCACTCCAAACAGTCAAGTCTGACTATTTCCTGTATTTACACATTTATACATTCAAAGTTCCACGTAGAGAGAACAAAAGTGTACACGCAAAAGGCGTGAGCCGGGAAGCCCGGGGCCAGGCTCGAAGCAGGCCCTGTACAGGCCAGCATCACCGCTCGACTGTTTTGGCACTTCCGCCAATCTCTGGTTCTATTTCACTGCTAGTTCCATGTGAAGAGTCTTGGAAACGACATCTCCAAACACAACAACGCCCCGGTGCTCAGCAGGCACTGCCCCCGCGGAGCGGCCCCGCTCCGACAGGCGCCCGGGGACCGGCGGAACAGCCCGGCCCGGTCAGCCCAGCGTCCCGGTACCGGCCCGAGCAGCGGCTCAGGGCGTGCGGCCCGAGTGAGGACCACGCGGGGCCTCTGCACAGCCGCTCTGGGAACCCCCGCCTGCCTCGGCTCCCCCGCGCGCGTCCCCGCGCCCCCCCGCGCGTCCCCGCACTCACATCCTGCCGGCGGGACGGGCCGCGGCCGCAGCGCCCGGGCGGGTCCAGCGGGAACTGCGCTCGGCGCCGACGGCGCCCCGGGTGACGTCAGAAGGGCGGGGCCTGCGGGCGGGACCGCAGGGAGCAGTCGGGCGCGCGGCCGCAGGGGGGCGCCCTCGCCCCGCAGCGGTTCCGGCCGAGGCCGCTGCACCCTCGGGCTTGGCTTTTCCCCGTCACTCATTGAACCCTCTTTTTCTCACTCCAGCCATTTTCTCCTCTCGTTTGGTCTTCCAGTTCTCTTCCCCCATTCCACTGTGGGGAAGGGTGAAGGCAGGGGAGCGAGCAGACAGCTGGTAGGTGTCTACTTTCAGTACGGGGCAACCCACCACAATAGTGGACAACTCAGCAATTAACAGGCATGTAAAAAGGAAAAATGGGGAAAGTATCCGAGATCAATTTGGGGAGTTAAATGCTGATTTATTCTTTAAGAGTAACTAATTAAACTTTGTCTGTAATCAAAAATAAAATCAAAGAAATCTCATCTTCTGTTGTGGTTCTGGGTTTTGGAAGAACTTATTCATAGCAGTACTAAGAGACTCTTTCGCATACCAGATGAGTATTAAACCTGGTTTTCCCTGCTAGGCTGGCCTTGTAGCAGTCTGGTACAAAAGCTTTATTTTTGAGGGCTAGTTTGTGTATCTTGCATATCTGATCAGTGCAAAGTTATTGTGTCTCAGGTATTTGTATTATTGTGAACTCTGATATATCTGCATCAGCAGCCCTCTTGAATTCTCCTAAGATTTGCCTCTGCTTTGTGCACACTGTAGGATTTAGCATTTTGCTACCAGGTATGTATGGTTTCTTATGGAAAGCCCTGAAATGATTGTCCACTGAAGAGGAACTGAAAACAATCTGATCTCAGAAAAGCTCTGGCGTTTGCACCTGCTCATGGGCAGGCTGTGGACTCTTACGTTATAACCTGCGAGAAATCAGGTGCAGTATACTTAACAAGCAGATCATATAGAGAAGAAATGCATTTTTTTCATCGTTCCTTACAGTGACTAAAGGGCTACATCGCTCTCAAACTAGGGTGGATGGATGTGTTTAAAAGAAAGCACACACTTTGTATGGGGAAATTTTCTTTGTTTTTAATTTACAGCAGAAAGAATATAAAGCATTCAGAAAACATTTTCCATATTTTAAGGGCAATTCAAAACATTTTGCATGGTTCCAGCAGCTGAGTTCTTCAACAGATCCATTGATTCAGTGATGCTTTACATGCACGGTTACAAAAATAAAACTTACAAAAGAGAAGACATCTATACTAGTTTTACATGCAAGTCTTGGGGACCCCCCATTGGGCACCAGCTATTGTGTGGAACTGCCATAAGCGTGCAACCAGAGAGGGGGTTCATGTTATATTCTGTATTTCTTTCACACAGTATTACTGCTGTCGAATGTGTTTCACAAAGGAGCGGTTCCATTATCAGAAGACAGAAGATCTGGCTCCTGGCACTTGGGAATTTGAATTTTCCTAGAAAGCTGCACTTACTTATCTTCGGTGAAAATGTAAGTTCCACAACCAAGAAGAGGGTTCACAGAATCACTTCACTGCAGGGGAGTCCTTCTCCCTCCCCAGTGACACACTGAAGGGTTACGGCCTGACACAACAAAGCACTTGGGAGCTGTACTTGGCTTCAAGCATGCGGGGAGTTCTGCTGTGCCTGCGGAACTGCCAGCATGGTTAGCACCAGTACAGGCTTACATGTTTGGCTGAGGCAGGATCTAGATTAGTAGATACACCACCAGGCCCATGGATCTGGAAGAGTAATTTGAAATAGCTCTGTATATTACTGAATCATTTTCTGGAAAGACAAGGAGTTAAAACATTTCCACTGAGGTCACTACTCTTGTTAGGAACAGATCAATTCTATATTGTCACGTATTTGTTAATGGGTACAATATTCCACCTTCAAAATGTCAGAGTTATTCCAGTACTAATACAGAGCATTTCCAATTCATTCCAAAGGAGATTCTTCAGTGTCTCCTGTTCTGTTTTGGCATGAGAGGAAAATTTAACGGTTAAGGTTCCAATTGCAGACAGTAAATGGAAACTACAAGGCTGCCCACAGGCACAGTGTGAGTGCCAGGCCATTTGTTTTGCCTTTTTTCCCTTTTTTAGAATTGAATCAGGTCATAAAGCAGCAGTTCAGAAAAGTACAAGAGAATTCTGATAATGAGCTATAGCACATCTACTATAATTCAATGCTGGCAGTGAAAAGAAGTAATTAAAAACAGGTACAATTATAGAAAAGGCACCAAGAGCACTGACCCCAGTTTTTTTGCCACAATCTTTGTTTTTACTCTTCTTGTAAAGACACCAGTTTCAAAGCTTCTTCTGTGTGAATATTTTTTGGCTTCACAACAAGCCCTGCGTTTAAACATTGCAGTTGGTGGCCGGGATCAAGCAAGAACAACTATTCCAAAACTAACAATCTCAAATTTACACAAGTCCATTCAGAAATTTTAAACTGCCACAAGTGAGACAAACAGACAGGAGCAGTTTCTGATCTCAGACATATGTATGTGACCCACAGTAACGACACGGACTTCAGGAGCTTCTTCCCTTACATTCCTATGTAATGAAGATCAGAACCTGGTTCCCATTGCTGAGAATCTGCGACAGTTTTAAATTAGTAGTTCAATTTAAAAAAAATCTAATTTCTTTGGCTCCTCACTATGTGGAAATAGCAATATACCATGACACCCCTACAAGATCAGTTTGCATCTTTTTTTTTTTTTAAGTTTTACTTAATTTTTTAAAATTTTTTGTGCAATTTTTATTACATTTTCTGACTTCCAGCAGGAGATATGAAAATGTGAAACATATTTTCTACCTTTGTACTATTTATTTATTTATTTTTTTTTCATTTTATGTTCATTCTAAGTGTTCTTTATTGGAGTGAGTGTATGGTGTTAAGCTAGATACGGTTTTTGTACTCTTATGATTATCTGCTTTGCAAAAGTAACTTAATTTTCTTAAGCAATATTAGCATTCACATTACTTGGCACCATTGGCAAAAAAAAAAAAAAGAAAGAAAGGAAAAAAAAGAAGGGGGAAAAAAAAAAAAGCAAGGAATACATAAACTAAACCCAACTGAACCAAACTCCTGGTAGCCAAAATCAAATGTAAACATATCCTTTTTTTCTTTTTTTTTTTTTTTTTTTTAAGTAATGTTGCTCTGCCTTTTTTTCCTAAGTCTAAATACAGTAGCTCTTTTTTGCCATTTAGTCATGCTTTAGCAAAAATGTTCTTCTAAAGAACATTTAAAATAAAGTTTCTTATAGTGAAATAAAGTTTTTGTTTCATTTTACAGACCATAGCCACTAATGCTTTGCTTTGTTCATTTCTTTTTCTTGAGTTCATGCACATATCTCTTTGTTTTAATATATACAATATATACAAACAATACATCCACACTCTTCTGGTTCATTCAGACAAAACTATACAAATAATAATTTTATCTTGCCAAGTTATTGACCCTTTGTGAATAAAATATTTAGTAATTAATCAATATATTCCCTTTCAAATATTTTTTTCTCATTTTCCATTTCTACCTTCTATATATACAGAAAACTGCCCAGATTTTGATGAAGTAGCCAAAATAAGAAATTTACTGGCCAGAATGCAGCACCACTGATCTTTAGGTGGCATAAAATGTCCAGGCAACATATGTACGTGACTCTGCAAAATGACAAGAGGTTTGACGTAAGAAAAAAAGCTACATGTTTTACAAATTATTTAAGAACTTAATTAAAACAATAGTACATGAAGGTAAGGCTAGAAAATAAAGTGCTGAATATGAGAGAAAGTACATGACAGTTGATATGTTTGCAGGTTCTAGTAAAAATACCAAAAAAAGTGTTTAAAACTTGCTTAAGCTGCTCTCTCCATTCTCATGCATTACCCGTGTCTCTCACACACCAACCCCTTCTGTAAGTTCCCACAGGATGTATTAAAAACCTGCAGATTTAAAAAGTTGCATTAAGTGTGCTGTAGAGGTTTAAATAAAACACAAAAGACAGGAGTGCGAAGGAAATGAGGATGCATGGACCCAATAAAGATGTACTGATCTAAGCCCCTCCACTGAGACTCTCAAAGCTTCAGTTTCTTGGAGATGACTGACAGGTGCAGGAACAGCATTCTTGTGTTGCTTGTGCATTCCCCACCTTTTCTGAACAATATTTTTGGTATAATATTTGTACAGTTCCACATGTTGTTTAATACAGCCCTATATGAAAAGGATAATTAATCGCTTCTTCCTTCTCGGAGAATGAAGCAACTCACAATTTCTTCCTGGTGTCTTTTGTTTTCCCAACGATCCAACAGAAGATTGAGTTCCAAGATGTCTTGCTGAACAAATTAAAAGTTGTCCATGAAAGTGCAAATGCAATGACCAAAACATTACTGTTAAAATCCTGCAGCTGGTATTTCCAGAACTGCAGTGGGTATTTTTGTTGTTGTTGCATGTCTCTGCTAAAAACAGAAAATGAAAACAGTCTGAAAAGCAATGTCACATTGCTACGGGATGCTGCTGCGTATCTTCAAGTTCCTTGGCCTTTTTCAATTCTTTCACTCTGAAAAAACAAAGAGGAGCTATGTAATACTTCTATTGCAAATCTCTCAAAGACACAGAACAATCAAAAGGACTCCTCAGTCCAACTTCCTGTGCAGAAGAGCCAGCTCTCAGAGAAATGACAGGAGGATAACACCTTCCTGACACCGTAACAGTTGGAAGTGCAAGAATGGGCCACGAGAGATCTGAGACAAACACATTTGGAGACATATCCTTAGTTCCAGCTACTGTTTTTCCCCAGTAGTTGCAACTACAGCTGGGCTTTTTTCTGGTGTTGGCCTATCTAACTGCTTGGGGTTTTCTGGACTGCTGTTGACTGACTGACTTTGCAGCTGCTCTTATTTGTCGTGGCAAAGGGGCTGTTCGGCGCTGACCTCTTTTCTCCACACAGTGCTGAGGCAGTGACAGCCTGATGTCATGGCCAGTACAGAGGGGGAAAATCAGCCCATCCTACTTGAAAAGAAAGCTCGGTGTTGATACAGA